ATCTGTGTGACCTTCAGAAAGTTACCTAACTTCTCTGTGCCTCAGTGGCCTTATCTATAAAAAGAACAAAATAAGAGCGTATCCCTCATAGGGTTGTTAGGATGAGTTAATATATAGAAAGCGCTCTGGGCTATGCCTGGCACATGGCAAATGCCATACAAGTTGTTGTTGTTGTTATTGTTATTAGATACGTAAGGGAACGTCTGTTCAGGCGGCCAAATCACCTTTGGTAGCATAATTTGCAGCTGCTGGGGTTCCCTGGTATGATAGCGCTTGCATTCATTTAACCTCCTCTGCTGTTGGGCATTTACATTGTTCCAGTTTTTTTTCTTCTTCTTCTATAAACAACTACAGGATAAACATCCTTGAACAAACACCTCTGCACACATCTTTATTTGTTCCTAAAAATTCAACTGAGTCACAGATCACACATATTTTTAAACTTCTGATACATCATTGCCAACGTGCCCTTCATAAAAGTTGCAGCGTTTACCCTGGGCTTGTCTCCGCACACCCCCCCACCCTCACTGGGGCCCTGGGCCGACTCTGAAGTCTCTCCCTCCTGCAGACTAGCCTCCTTTCCCGTCTGCCTGTCCCTGGCACCCTCATTGCAGCCCCCCCGGAGAAGCAGTGAAGTTTGCTGAAACGGATGAACTGGAGATGAGGTTTGGGGATCCTATTTTCAGCCTCCTGGGATAAATCTATGCTTCTCATTTTCCCCCACATGTAAAATGTGGGTCAACACACCTGCCAAGAATCAAACACTATTTAAAGGTAGTCTATGAAATTGTGTGGGACTACATATTCCATGCATCCAAATGACAGAACAGGCAAAAGTTTAGCTTGTTAATCGCACATCGAGTGATTAAATTTTGGGTATTTTTAAACCATTTCCAGCATCCAATATCAAGGCTCCCAAGGGACCATACCAGAGCCCCAAATCTGCCACGTTAGAGCTCTCTCTGGACTCCAAACCACCTTGGGGGCATATTGAGTAAAATGCACACAAGCCATCACCTTCCTATGTGCGAGCAGACTGATGTCCCACTTCCCCACACCACACTACGAAAAAAAAAGGGCCCAGCTACAAAGGACACCAAGAGTCTGTCCTCTGAGGACGGTAGCAAGCTTGTGTGCGGGCATGGCAGCGTACCGGGCTCCTTCTCACAGTGCTCAGTGAAGGAGGGCGCTTATACCCATTTTGCTGATCAGGAGAATGAGGCTCAGAGACATTAAGAATTTTCTGAGGAGCTGAGAAAAAGAGAGGAGACCCTGACATGACATCCTCTGGTCACCAAATTCCTGCCCTTCCTACACTTCAAGACACGGAGGGCGTCTGGAGAATGGTGGCCACCATGTGCATCAGTCACCCGCGAGACTTCCAAGAACGGCCCCTACCACCCACCACTTCTCTCTGCAACAAAAAGACCTGCTCAGACTGGGCACGACAACTTATGGACATCCTCCCAGCGCCACAGGTGAGGGGCACCTGGCTTTCCGCACCTGATGTCAGAGCTGTGATGTAACTCCAGATGCTGTGCCCCAGTTCGTCCCACGTGGCAGGAACCTGAGGTCTCAGCAGAGTCCCCCCAGGGCAAATCTCAGGGAGATCTGGGTTGTGTGAAGCCAGAGAAGGAACGGGAACATTCCAGAAGAAGAGATCCTAGGACACTGAGGAGCAGCTCGGGGACATCAGGCCTCCAACTGCCATTTGCTGACCGCCTGCCGGACACTGCACTCAACATTCATGCACGCTTTCACAGCTCGCTGAAGAACACAACCAGCTAGGCGCCATGATGGTCCCATTTTACAGATGGGAAAAGTGTAGAGCAGCTCAAAGACTAGCCCGAAGCCAGGGAGTCTGAACACACAGGGATGACTCAGGGCTCAGGACTCAGGTCTGAAGCTGAGCTCCACCTCTTCCCAGCTGTATGGAGAAGGGACTGACCTAACCGGGAAAATGGGCATGATAACAAACGGGGAGAATGTGAAAACTATCAACAGCTGGAGAAATAGGAATTCAGCAAACAGGTTTAATGAAACAATTCCCTAATGCTGACATGGGGGGCAGGGCGTTAAGGTCTCTAAGAAATTATCCTGGAGAGCATGGGATGGGTGGGCTATGTGTGCCTGCGCCTGGGCTCAGTCGACAATTATGGAGCACTTGCTGTATGCCACCACAATAAACGGGGCACCATGCTGGCCTTGACCTGCTCAACATCCAACGGCAGAGAGGGGTCAACATCTCACAGGTGCCTGTGAACCAGAGTAAGGTGGGGTAGGGACAGATCCAAACTTCCTAGCGGCCAACCAGCCAGGGGAGGGGGGGGGTTCTCCATTACAGGAACAGCCAGGATTGAGGAACCAAAAGGAAGATGAAGCCCAAGAGGTGCCCCCCAGGGCCAGGCCCCTCACCTGTGCTACCTCAGTGAGCCTCAGGCCGACTCTCAGAGGGAGGGGTCAACAGTTCCATCTCTAAGATGAGAAAACTGAAGTCAGAGAGGCTAAGCAAGCTGTCTGAAATCACACAGCTGGACAGCAATGGGGTTGGGATTTGAACCCTTGTCTGTGGGACAAAGAAGAGGACAGGAAGGAGTTGGGGGGGGGTATGGCCGCAAAGACCACAAAGACAGAGACTGAAGGGATACACTGGCTCCCAAGGCCTGATGAGAGGTGCAAGGGGGGCCTGCAACCCACGACAGTGCCCGAGGGGATCCTGTTCCAGCTGGCTGGCCAGGGTGGGGTGGGGGGGTGGGGCTTAAAGAGTCTGCCAGAACGGGGCGAGCCTGGCTGATGAGGAGGGGCCCTAACCCCAGTACTCAGGAGATAACCACACACTGCACTGGGACCCCAAAGCTGGATGCCCACTGCAGCCCCCACACATGCCTCCCGAGAGCATTCTTCCTCCAGGCCCTTTCTGGGGCCAAAGAGGAGAAGGGGAGGATCCAGAAGTTCTGCCTTCCATGTAGGGCTCTAAACACCCATGGGCTTATAAAAACTTCCCTCAAGGGCATAAACGAGCGTAGTGGACTGTGCGTTCCCTTTGAAGTCCTGTGGGCGGGCCTGCCTCAAGTAAGCTCTACAAGGAAAAGCTGGCCAGGGAGGGGAGGGTGGGCCAGCCCCTCCCCCCCCGCCCCCGTCCCAGCTAGGGGGGTTCAGATGTGGCCCCGCTGAGCACCTGGGCAGATTTTCCAGCCCTTCCCTTGTTTGTGAGCCTGTCACGAGCTGCAGGTGAGTTAGCTCTCACAGCCTGAAACCCCAGCAGACCTTGTTCCTCCCTGCTCAGGGCCCTCCAGCCCCCGCATCACTCCCAGGGCCTATGTATCAGCAGGTCCCTCCATCCGCAGCCTGGAATGCCACCTCTCTCTCCAGTAATAGAAATTCTGTCTTGTAGGGGCCAGTTCAAACACAGCCCTGCGCTCAAATCTCTCTGCTCCCCTCCAGCACCCTGACTCCGACTCCTACCTGTTTCCTGAGTGCACCCCACACTGCTGCCCCCTTCCCTGTAACAGGGTTCCCGCGTTCCCTTCTCTCGCACCACACAGTTTCGGTCCTGGAGGTTAAGAACCAAAGCCTTCCAGGTGCCAGAGGACAGGTACAGGACTCCGCGTTTCCACCCAGTGCACACTGATTGAGCACGTCCCCCGTCCAGGCCCTGGGACTGGGGGGCCGGCGGTCCAGGATGTTTCCCTTTCTTGCCCCCTTCCTCCTGCCTGAGTCTCTCCACGACCTCATGCCTGAGAGAGCTCTCCCACCTCCCAGATGCCAGCTCCCCTGTCCCTGCTCTCTTTCCCGCCTCCACTTCTGGGCATACCTAGTGTCCTCTGTTGACCTCCAGCCACAGCAACCTGGAGGTGGTCTCCAGCGGGGCCCCAAGGCTGAGGGTCCCCGTCAGCTGGGTCCCATCTGGTTTCCCACTTCCCAGACCACTTGGCCTCTACTCCCAGAAAGAAACTTCTCTTGCCAGGGAGAGGCGCTCAGATTGTCGCGGGGAGCAGGAACTAAGAGGCCTTTGGCGGGGGTCCTGGTGGGAGCCCGGAGAGCTCCTCTATAGGGGACACTGATTGGAAGGCCAGGGCTCTGAGCTCCCTTTCGGTGACCTGACTAGAGCTCGGCTAGTCGGAGACCCCAAGGGGCCGCTCCCCTGACGCGCACTCCCGCCTGCGGGACGCCGGCCCGGTGGACTGGCGCAGCGCCAGGCGGAGCACAGCCCCACGTCCTCTCCCGCGGCCGGGCTCCGCACCGGGACAGACGACGCACAAGCTCGGAATCCGCCGGCATCCGCACCCCGTCCTCCGGCTCGAACCCGAGCCGCCCCAAACCCCGGCTGGCGCGCGGGGCTCCCGCTCCAACTCGGAAAGTAGCGGGCGGCGAGGGCCGCGCCCCGGGGCGGCCGCGGGGCAGGGCCGGCGGTACCTGTCAGCAGTTCGATCTTGTGTCCCAGCACCTTCATTTCCGCGCTGCGGCGTCGGGGAGCGCGCTCGGCCCGGCCGGGAGAGGAGCGCGGGAGGCGAGGAGCGAAGCGGCAGGAGAGCCAGGAGCCAGGCAGGCGGAGCTGCCGGGAGGCAGGAACGCTCTCGCCGCCCCCCTCGCCGCGCTCCCCCCGCTTCCAAAACGGGTTAAAAAAATCCACCAATTGCACGACCGCGCACCCCTAAAAGGCGCGCGCCGCCACCTGGTCGGGGTGAGCTCCGAGAGGCGGAGGGAGCGCGCGGGGTGGGTGCGGGTGACACTCCCGGCGGCGGGAGGGGGGGCCCCCCGGCGCCTGTCGCCCTAACAAAGAAGCCGTGCTGTCCGCGCCTCCCCCCACCACGACACCCGGGGGTCCCCGAGTCTGGCTGGGAAGGAGGGAGGGGGCGCCGCCCTCGTAAGCAAAACGTGGCCCGAGCGAGGGGGCTCGCGGCTGGCGAACCTCAGGGCCCGCGAGGAGGCGGCGCCGGGTGGGGGGCTGGCCGCAGCCGCCGCGGAGGGGGAGAGGGGGAGAAGGGCCGCGGGCGCCGCCGACTCACCGAGGATGATGTGAGCGAGACAGACGCGCAGGCGGGAAGCCGGGCCTTGGTGTCGCGGCCGCCAACGCGCGGGTGCAGGTGCGCGCAGCCGGGAGCCCCTC